GCCACTCTCACCACTGGTCCCGAGGGGCTCATCTGTCCTGGATTCCCTGTGTTTCCCGTTCCTATCTGCACCAGTGGACACCCTCCTTTGGTATTCTTCTCTCCTATGTCATGGAGTAGGCGAGGCCAGGATTCGCCACTCAGTGAGAGGACAACATGAACAAAAGTGGGTGAAGTCACATGGCAGTCATGATTGGAGAACCATGTTCACCGAAAACCTCTGTGGAAAGAAGAAGGGCCAGGTCCGTTCTGGGAGCGCAGCAAAGGGATCCTGGAAATTGTAATGAAGCATCTCTTCTCTTTTTAATCGTGGGGAGCACGTCCAGTTTCCCCATGGTACAAGCCAATTAGGATAGTCCCTTTGTGAGGACACAGCAGAGAGGGAGGGGTGAGCAAACAAGGGGCAGAGCAGGCAGGGTGCTGAGGTCCTGCAGCCTTCCCCGCGATTATTCCTGGGTGGCCGGCAGCCTTGGCAGATTCCTGGGACACAACCTGCCTCCTTCCACCCCGTTGGCCTCCAGGCAACTGTGCCTCCCAAGTGTGTGTCTGACCAGAACTGTGCTCCATCGAGTCTTTCTTTCTTAGTGGTAGTCAGCCAGCCCTTTCTTCTCTGCCCCCCCTGGATCAGAACCTCCAACTGCTCATGGTGACGACTTGCTCCCCCTTCCACGTGCCTCTGGGGAGTGTGCGTATTCCCCCGGGACTCTTTCTCCTGCCCTTTAGACTCTCTGTGAGAATGGCCTGCCACGGATATTTGTTGTATTTTAAACATATTTCGCCAATTTGAATAGTTTGGAAAATAAAGAGAAAGGTCCAGGGTGATTTGTATCTGGTCTTACAAGCACCCCACCCTTTATGTCTCATTTAAGGATGACCTTGAGGAATGGAAATGTAGATTTTTATTCTCAACCTCCTGGTTGGACATAGAATCTACAGGGAATGAGAACTCTCTCTCTCTCTCTCTCTCTCTCTCTCCCCCTCTCTCCTCCCCACCCCCCTCCTCTCTGGCAAGGGCAGCTGCACTTCTCTATCAGACAAAGGACCTTTCAACTAGCATTCAAACCCATACCCAGGAGCACAAAAGCATTCTATACCTAAGGAAGCCTATTTCTCTGAAACGTAGGGAAGGAAGCTTCAGAATAGAAAGCTTTGTGAGGAGAAGTGCCACTGAGGGGGGGCTCTATTCTCAGGAAAAGTCTCAGTCTTGCCTACAATCATCCTCTAATGAGAGTTCCATCCCGGTGACTTGTTTATGACTCAGTCTTTTATTCTTCATCTTCCACATGAAAACAGGCTCCGACTTCTCTGAATCTTTCGCCTCAACTTTATGCTACGGCAAGCCCCACGATACATCCCATTTGCTCTGCTTTTCTTCAGAATCGGATATTTCGCCTGTCTTCAAAAACCCATTTCTCCCAAAGAGTTACCTTAACACATGGCACAGACGTGGTCTTGTTTCCATGCAGCCCCGCCCTTTCCTCTTCTTTCAATAAAGCTGGTGAAAAAGCTACCTAAGGCCCAGATGATCAAGTGAAGTCAACATAGAGTTCTTTTGAAAACCAGAAGCAACCAGGGAGAGAAGATAACATAATGGAGAGAATTGCTACCAGGAACTGTTGCATAACAGAAACGAGCAGGCTTGAGCCTTGCTGGGCGATGGGAGATTAGCCCTATCTTTCTCCTCTCCCTTTCTCCTGCTCCACCCAGATTCCCCTCTTCACTGCGCTCACCATGCTGTGGGAGAGCCACCTGCCTTTCCAGCGCTCCCTCTGGACTTCCCCTGCACATCTGCCAACATCTGCACTCATTGCTCCCCCCTTTCCTCAGTCAGTTAAAAGGTGCAGTATGGAAGTGTCATTTAGAAGCAAATGGTCATCTTGAATGTGAACATATCGCCACAAAAGGAGCCCTGGTGGCATTGGGCTGCTAACTGCAGGGTCTGTGGTTCAAGAC